ACCTTTAGACACCTCAAACATCTGATTTCCCCCCCCCCCTTTGAAAAACATTCAGATTAAGGAAGAGTTCTGCGGAACTTGAGAGTCTTCACATTTTCTTCTGCAATTTTTGGTAGATCCTAATAAAAGTTACTACAAGACCTTTTTATTGTTTCTGTGAAAATTCAAAGCAAGTCTTTCCACCACCCATGACGGATAAATAGGGTTGTCAGCTCTGGGCTGGAAAATACCTGGAGATTTTGGGGGTGGAGCCCGGGAAGGGGAGGGTTTGGGACAGGGCAGGGACCTCAGTGGGGCACAGTGCCATAGAGTCCACCCTCCAAAGCAGCTATTTTCTCCAGAGGAACTGATCTGTGTCATCTGGAGATCAATTGTAAAAGTGGGAGATCTCCAGGCCTCACCTGGAGGTTGGCAGCCCTACTAATAAATGCATGGGGAAAGCACCCAACTATATATCCTATTTTTACCCCACCTTTCCCCCGTGGAGCTCAGGGCAACACAAAGTGTTCTCTCATTTCATTCTCACAACCACCCTGTGAGGTCAGACAGGCTGACACCATGTGACTGGCTCCAGATCATTCAATGAGTTCCTCGCTAAGCAGGAATTCGAACCCAGGATCCCCAGGATTCTAGGACGATCCTCGAAGCAAACTCTCAGTACCCAAGCTTGACAACATTCAGGTGACTGTCTCTTTTGACTTTCTCAGTGCGGCTGTTTCCAATACCTTAAAAAGGAACAATCAAGATGAGAGTGCCCCAGAGCACGCACAGAACGTGCTTTCCATTCCAGTGCTGGAAGTGGACTCAAGATGTGGCAAGAGTGTTTCAGAGCATGAGCTCCTTGCTTCAGGTAGCTTGTTTAAAACTCTCACAACCTGTTTACGGTGCCAAGCTCCTTTTGCACAAAGGCTGAGCATGTTTAGAAATAAGAGATCATTATCAGAAGGATTTATATGAAGAAATGAAGCCATAGGAGAAGGTTACAGAAACGGCCCTGCGTTCCAATGCCACAGCAACCACTCTGGCTTTCAAGGGGAAATATGCAGGAAGGCAGGACTTTTGACATTTAATGCATAACTGTGTTAACTTGCTCCTAAATAGTCTTCATTAAGTCCCTGGCAGGAACAGACAAAGCACCGCATTCTTTCCTTGCGGTGGAAACTGTCCCGTGGTGGTCGCATGATCAAGGGTGTGTGTGTGTGTCAAAACTGCACCTAACCCATTTCCAAACAGCGGGAGCCTTTGTGCAAGAGACAACGGCATCTTTCAAATGTATGGTGTGTGTTCCTCTTTGCTGTGCCCACGCTGTCTGAATACCGTGGAATAGCATGCCAAGTTCCCTGGTGTGCATTCTCACAGGGATCTCGGCTGTGTCGCACAAGGCAGCCCAGCAGAAGGAACTCACATGAGCAGGGATGGCAGCGTCAGCATCTGATCAGCGTCTGGGGAAGCAAGTCTAAGCCCTCTGAAGTAGAGAGAACTCTTTTGAGTGGCTGAAAGCTGTTTCAACAGGGAAACCAGAGCAAGCCCTGAAAAATTATAGGATCAGGCAGACTTAACATGCCTGAAGTCAGGCTGAGACTGGTTTTCTTCCACATAGGGAACCCTGTTCTTTGGCCACTGAGTGCCCCCCCCCCTCAAAAGTGTGTGTTAATTTCTTATTCGGCACAGACGTCTGCAAGCAGGCTACATATGGAACTCCAAGTCAAGTTTGTAACACCCAAATCATCCAACCCCATGACGTATTGCCTCTGGCACAAAGTTTTGGGTTTTGTGTATTATACTTTAACAAATGAAGCTTACAGGTAAATACCGAGAAATAAACTGGGATATTTGTACACACACACACACCGCTTTGGTCCAAGCCAATCATTCATGCACCCATGAGATGTCCTACTAGCACATTTGGGCCAAAGCTTTGTACATTTGTGCAAATTGCTAAATGTGATGTCTGCATGCCAATTAGGGAAGGGCAATTTGCAGCTCAAGTTTGCAGGAGTTCAGGGAAGGGGCTATAGGCCAAAGGTAGAACATCTACTTGGTGTGCAGAAGGTTCCAGTTTCAAGACCAGGTAGCCGGTAATGTGCAAGGCCTCTGCCTAAGACCCTGGAGAGCCACTCGCTTTGATAGACTATTAGTCTGACTCAGTAAAAGACATTACATTGTTATGCTTGCCCCACTTCTTCAAGTGCCAAGAAGTTCCAGAGGCTTAACCTGTACTAGTTTCCATTGGAGAAGAGAGTACAGGAGGCATAGTACCTTTTGCTTTGTTTACAGATATGCGGGCAGAGCAGAGCTAGAGGCACCAGATGCCCAGAGTTCCCATGTTTCAGCCAATTTCCAGCAGTGTCTTTCTGCCTTCTCTCTTCAGCTGAGCAGGGGAAGCCACTTCCTCCAAGCCCTTGGGTACTCAGGGCTTCAGGAGTGGTCAGAAGCATTACCATGCCATCTTCTGGACCCAGAGTTCCCTAACACATGCAACAGGTAAATACCGAGAAATAAACTGGGAGATTTGTACACACACACACGCTTTGGTCCAAGCCAATTATTCATGCACCCAAGAGATGTCCTACTAGCACATTTGGGCAAAAGCTTTGTACATTTGTGCAAATTGCTAAATGTGATGTCTGCATGCCAATTAGGGAAGGGCAATTTGCAGCTCAAGTTTGCAGGAGTTCAGGGAAGGGGCTATAGGCCAAAGGTAGAACATCTACTTGGTGTGCAGAAGGTCCCAGTTTCAAGACCAGGTAGCCGGTAATGTGCAAGGCCTAAGACCCTGGAGAGCCACTCGCTTTGATAGACTATTAGTCTGACTCAGTAGGAGACAGGTGCGTGTGTTCCATTACATTGTTATGCTTGCCCCACTTCTTCAAGTGGCAAGAAGTTCCAGAGGCTTAACCTGTACTAGTTTCCTTTGGAGAAGAGTGTACAGGAGGCACAGTACCTTTTGCTTTGTTTACAGATATGCGGGCAGAGCAGAGATAGAGGCACCAGATGCCCAGAGAGTTCCCGTGTTTCAGCCAATTTCCAGCGGTGTCTTTCTGCTCCTGTCATTTCTTTAAATACAGACACCCCTGCCTTCTCTCTTCAGCTGAGCAAGGGATGCCACTTCCTCCAAGCCCTTGGATACTCAGGGCTTCAAGAGTGGTCAGAAGCATTACCATGCCATGTTCTGGACCCAGAGTTCCCTAACACATGCCACTTTAGGCCAAGCATTCACAACCTCCTTAATACATTTTCTTTGTAAATATACCCTGCCTTTGTTCTCTGTCCCCCTCTGCTGGCCAGAAATTAAATATGATTTACTAAGCAGCAGAGAAAGGCAGCAACAAGCCTGCCATGCTTCTTTCACAAAACTCGGTAGAGGTTTTTCTCATCTGTTGGTCTTGGGTGTCTCTGAGCATTCTGGGCTGCTGCAGGTTGTGTTAATTCACTAGAGAACTCTGCATGTTGAGACCTGGAGCTACAGTTTGTAGCCATTTACTGTTGTATTTGTTGGGGCTCAGCTGGCTGATCTCTGGGTACTTGGGGGAAATAACCCTCCCACTGTTTGGTCTTTAAATAATTAATATTTTTTTAGTTACTTGACCAGTTGCCTTTGAAATATAACACAGGAGTCTTTTCTTAATTAACATTAACTTTTTACTTTGATTTTAGTCCGTATAACAAGGCAGTATAAAACTTTCTTATGGCATTGACCCATTTTCCAAAATACATGAACAGCAATTATTGGACCAGGATACTAGAACAGGGGTCCACGACGTGGTGCCCATGGGCACCATATCACCCACTGCCACCTTCCCTGGCACCCGCCAAGTGTTTTTTAGAAAACGGACGGGGCAGGTAAAGCTTCTGATGGGCTGTGCAGATTTTTTGGGGGAAATGTTGCTTTGGCGGCCGCTGCCACCCCCAGCACAAGGATCTGCACTGTGTGACTGAAGCTAAACTGTGGCAATCATTTTGTGGCAGTGCCGCCCATACCACGTCAGAACTCCAAAGGTACACACAGGCTCAAAGAGGTTGGGGATCTGCAGTCCTGAACACGCCCAAAACGGAGGCTGTGTTTTTCATGTAAACCATTCGTCCCTCCCTGCAGACCTGGAGAACACCGACTCCAAATATTCTGCAACCACTACAGTCACTTCGTCCTCATGATGGAAGAAGCTGCGCTGGTTAAACCATCATCGGTTATGCGTTGAGGGCCCACCCACGGCACACCTCCAAGACACACCAGCATTATGCTGGCCCAGGGCTTTTTGGCCATCCTAAGAGCGGCTTACAGTTTGCTCTCTAAAATTCAGCCAGATGATCCCAAATCCCTTCCTGACCTCTTCCAAATGGCCTGACCCCGCAGTGATAGGGCCCCACGTTCTGCCATCACACACACACACACCATTCCCAATGCGGCAGCTTTTCTCTCTGCCTCCCTCCTCCCCACTTCTCCTGAAACACTTATCTGTCTCCTTCCTGCTCCCAAGCCCTAATGGCTACACAGTAACTCTCAGAGATAAATACACACATGAAGCTGCCTTATACTGATTCAGACTCTTGGTCCATCGAGGTCAGTGTTGTCTCCTCTGACTGACAGTGGTTCTCCAGGGTCTCAGGGAGAGGTCTTTCTCATCACCTACATCACCTACAGCTGCGGTGGCTCAAGCGGTTAAGACGCTGAGCTGCAGGCTGTGGAAGGTCAGTAGTTCAGCAGTTCGAGACCCAAGTGTGCCGCATGACGGAGTGAGCTCCTGTCTCTAGTTCCAGCTCCTGCCAACCTAGCAGTTCGAAAGCAAGAAACTGCAAGTAGATAGATAGGTACCACTTCAGTGGGAAGGTAACAGCGTTCCGAGCGCTTTGGTGTTTAGTCATGCTGGCCACATGACGACGGAAACGTTTTCGGACAGCGCTGGCTCTTCGGCTTTGAAACGGAGATGAGCACCGCAACCCTAGAGTCGGATTCGACTGGCTTTCGAGCAAGGGAACCTTTACCTTTTTACTGCCTTAACTGGAGATGCCAGGGAGTGGACCTGGGACCTTCTGCATGCGAAGGAGATGCTCTACCACTGAGCTACATCCCCTTCCCCTAAATGCAAGGAACAAATGGTTGCTACTGGTCCAGTGGGCATGCAGGGTCCCCGTGGGGACATCTTGCTAAGCAAGTCACCACTTACTACTTTTATCTGAACCACTCTGATTCTCCTCCTCAGCCAGATGGGCAGCCTGTCTCACCCAAGGCCGTCTCCACAAACACTCTGCACCTCTTGCAGCCCATTTTAAACCACAGCAGCGACTGTGTTGGTCACCTAGACGATCGGCTCCTCCATCTGCCTTACTGGGGATTTTCTGGGAGATTTCTTCCACACGACACACGAGGGCCCGATAAAATGCAAAACATTTATTGGTGTGTGTTGTACAAAAAGGCTTCCAGTCATAAAATGTAAATTACAAATAATTCTTTTAAAAATACAAGACATTTGGCATGCATATTCATAAGGTCTTTAAAAAAACCACCCTGCTGAAAACTGAAAAAGTCTAGGTCGCAATCCTTACGGAGCGGTGCGGTCACCGGCTTCTTCTGTGCCGCTTTCCTAACTATGTTCTTAGATGGTGAGAGTGGCTGGCAGCCACACATCAGTGCTCTAGACACAGCTGCCCCTTCGTTAAAAAGAAAATTAGTGACAGATGCATCGTATACACAGAAGTATACTTGCAACTGGAAATGAAGTTGTGTTGGAAGTGTGCATCACAATCCCCCCCCCCCCAGCTTATTGCTTGTAAATTTAGTGTAACTCAACAAGGTGACTCTGTTCCAGTGTTTCTCGTGCAAAACCAAGGGCTAAAGCGGTATAGCTCTGCTACCAAATTCCCCTCAGCCAGAGTCTGTGGGATCCACAGATTTACAGAGAGTGGGAGTCCATCTTAGTGGATCTCACCCAGAATCTGGACATGGCAGAAGTCTTAGGCATCAACAGGAAGGTGAGATCCCAGGGCAGGGCTGTGTCAATGTGTCACCTCAACAGGAGGCCCAGTGCTTTTGTGCAGCAATCAACAGCTTGTTCTCTAGACTTTAGCGTTTCAGCAAGGTGTTTTTACCTTTACATGTAAATCATATGTAAGAGAAAATGTACATTTAAAAAGAAAAAAAGATGTAAAGCTAGGCATATTTCAAAGGGCAAAGAAAATTCTGTTTCTCAGGTCACAACCAAAAACACATCTGCTGCCCCCCCCCATCTACTTCAAACATATGCCCTTGAACTGGCAAGAAAAGTAGCCCTGTTTACATTTAAGATTAAAAACAAAACAGATGGGGAGAAGAGACTGGCATCCTACTGCCTTCCCAGGGGCACGCTGAGACAGGGGAAGAGGTTATCTGCTGGCTGCGGGGTGGCTTGAAGGGAACTGGGATATAACACTCCACAGACCATAACAAAGGGACTTTCTCTCCCAGCTACGTGTACACCGTGAAACTGCATATGTTTGAACTGGGCCCAGGGGTGCCTGTATAAGTCTGCGATGTGTGTGTGAGGGGGAGATGACGGCAAAGAGCAGCACTTGGCTTTATTTAAACTAGCAGTCAAAGACTTGCCCTGTTGATGCAAAGGCTGGTAGAAGAGTGGGGCAGATGATCTGTGGGATAAAAGGCAAGGGGGTGTGTGAATCCTGGCCAGGATTGAAGAAGTGGGACTTGATGCTGTATTCATCTGGGACTTCCGGCTCAGAAAACGGGGACATGAAGCCTGGCTGAAAGATCCCAACAGCCAAAATGCCGGCAGGCCTCCAATTAAACTGAAGATGTGACAGGATCCTGTCAACACTCGGAAGGCATCTCACAGTTTGAAACATCACTCGTAAGATTTCTGAATGGGAAAAGGCTTAAGAACGCAAAGCACTGGATCACAGCGCAGTTCACAAGTTACAGCGCACACAAGTACATCCTGCGCACACACATCTGTTTGTAAGAAAGAGGCAATGCTTGTTCACTTTACACATGAAACTGAGGACCAGTACCTGCATAAATGTGTGGCTTGGGGCTTGTCCATGTGACAAACACAAGAATGACTCAATGAGTGTATAAAGTATGCTGCACACAGACTGTACATGCGTTTACAGTAACTTGTGAGCAAGGCTACTGATTTCAGTGTGATTGAGACGTGCCCCTTCTAAGGTGTGGCGATGGAACGCGTGGAAAGGATGGAAGACGCTGCAGAGACCGTGGGCCCATGCAGCCAGGCAACTCACACTCTCCTTCGCTTTGGACTGGATCTGGGCCTCTTGTCTTGACTGGGGAACCACAATAATAGGTCTCCTCGGTATTCTCAGACCTCTACATGGTGGTTCCCCCTTTTTTTTCCAGTTAATGACTGGGAATTCGACAACAGGGGAAGCTTTTCCTGGGATGATGGAAAGCAAGCAATAAAAGTGAAACTATTCTGCAACTAAAGGGCAGCAAATTTTAAAATGCATGTATACGTGTCCTGCTGTCTCCGATCTCCTCTCCCCAGGGCAGGCCACGGTTGCAGGCTGCAGAGAACTGCACGCTCAATGACGGAGGTGGGCATGGTCAGAATTCTGGTTCAGGGAAAGGGAACGGCTCAGACTGCATTCACTCAGCTGCCTGCTTAAGTCAGCCTATTTTAAGTAGTACGTTTGCACTGAACGGCACATTCACATCTTCAGGACAATAAGAAAAAAAAAGAATCACAGGAGTATAGGAATTACTGGCTAGAATCAAGGAACCCAGGCCTCTGCAAATCTTATAGGAGACGTGGGATCGGAGACGGAGGCAACCGGGCAACCGGCAGGAACAACACAGGAAATACAGCCTCCCCCTGCCGTTGGGTGGGTTGTGAAGAGGTAGGCGAAGCAGTTTTTGGTTGTGCCCAAGAAACGCAATTTTAAGTAAAGAGATAAGCATGATCAACTACATATTCAGCCAACTATTCCAGCTGAGTGGGAAGATTATATAAGGGAGAGACAAAAGTTACTGACTTTTGTTCCAGGTCTTTCGCACAAATGGCTCAATCAATAAAAGAGAGAGAGAGAGAGAGAGAATGCATCAGGGTCTCTAAATCTAAACACTTTTACAGTAATTCAGCATTGGTAATCATCAACCCACCAGGCGGCATTGAAACATTTGTGGAAATTAGCACCTTTGATAGCTTCTTTTAAAATAGAAAGGGTCGACAGTATGTCTCCAATTTGTTCCCACCCAGCTTGTGCTGCAGCAAAGCCATTAGAAGTACTTGGGTCATTCTAAGTCGGTCTAAATATTCTGCGATCATAATATCGAACCACCACCCACCCCCAGCCACACAGTAAAGTCAGAGACATCCATGTGCCGCAGAAGCAGTGTGCTCGGCATCACACGGAAGTCAAATGCATTGGCAGAACTTGTCCCATTTACATCACAACAAAACAAGAGCTGCTGCCTCTGGTCTGCCTGCAGAACTTGTCACATCCCTGTAAACAGGTGTACTTGCACAAATGACTAGCTCTTTGGGAATATACTACAAGCTTCTTTTAGGGCCCATTCAAAAGGTGCACATATCCCTGAACGCAAAATCACAGGGTGACTTTCAGCGTCTGAAAACAGATCTGACATACTGCCACCGCGCACTGTTCTGCAGAGACAAGTCGAGAGCCAGAGGACGATGTGGTGTTGGGCAAAGAGTGACGTACACATGTGTGAAGCACGGCTCACGCGCGATGACATTTGCACAAGGGTATTTAAAAAAAAAAAGCAGTAGTGACCAGAAGCAGCCCAGACTGAGCTTCGATGCCAGCATCCAAAAAGAAGAGGGACGGTGCCAGGCACAAAACTTAAAGATCTTCCTGCCAACTGAGTAAATTCAACCATCTGTCTCCCATGGCAACTGACTGTTTAACTGGAGACCACGCAACTATCCAGAGTTCATATTTGTGAGTGGGAATGAGAGCGGCAACATCTCCCCTATCAGAATCTGAAAGAATCAGATTTGGAAGGGGTGACTTCAGCTTCAGTGGGTTGATGGACTTGGGTTTTTCAGCTAGAAAAAAATGGTCAGGAGTCAACGTTGGCAGACTGAATTCCGACACCGGATTCTTTTTCAATAGTCTTTCTCCTATCTTTTTGGCAGCCACTAATTTGGTTTTAAAAGCCCGCTTTGTTTTCCTTCCTTTCTTGTAAGCAGGGCAGCGGTTGCTGCCATGCTAAAACGAGACACAAAATTTTACAAACAGGCCCAAAAGCTTACATCCCCAAGCGGGATCCCCCAGGAATTCAGGGGCCATGGCAAAGACCTGCCCAGAAGAGGGTCCCATAATCCAGTTTACAGAAAAAAAGCTTTTAAGGACTCCACATGTAGTTAGTTGTCAAACGTGTTTCAACACCCACTTTGGGTGCGGGATTTTTGAGACATTCAATCTGTGTCCAGTCAGGGAGTGCCTGCTTGAAGCACACTGTAGCATCTGTCAGGAGATCACTCTGTAGTGCTTCCAGATTAAAATCCACTAAAAATGAAAAGAAGCCCTCGCAGCCAGGTAAATCTGCCAAAGTGTATATCTACTGCAGTATGCAAAGGCAGGGGGGCACAGCTACAACCACAGGATCCAGTGCTCCCCTGCCCAGGCATTCCTCTGCTGCTTCACCCACCCATGGCACAGGCAGCACTGGAGGAATGTGTTGGTCTGAAACGGGGGGGGGAGGGTGGTGGGGGAGGGGGGGGGGGGGGGGGGGGGGGCACCCAGAATGATGAAAATCGCAGCACTGGTAAGGTACAGAAGTTATGCAACAGGTAACAATATAGTTGATTTTTGTCAAGGGAATCTATTCAGGCCTGAGCCAGACACACACACACACACACACGTGGCAGGTAGGTTCTTCTTGTGAGACACGGGCATCAGGGTTTACCTGTTGAAGAACTACGGCATCTTCAATCAGTGTTGCATCTTGCAGGACGAGGGCACCAACAGAAAGCAACAGCTTCAGGGTGAGAGACCCACCTGCTTATCTTAGACACGCCACTTCCGCAGTGTTGGTTTGCACAGAGTTCCTATCAGTCTCTTCCCTCAAAGTGCCTGGCTGGCCGGGGCTAGAGAGATGGAAGGCTGGAATAGAGAGACCCTGGGCCCGATCCAGCACAAGTGCCTGATTATGCCACACACTTTGGGTATGCGTAGCCGAACACAGCAAAAGAGCCGCAGGCAAAGAGACGTGGGGGATGCTGAAGCATCCATTCATTGCCGGGCTTAAGCGGCACAGCATGAGCATGCGCTTATGGGATCTTCTGGCTTCTAGGTAAAATATGGAAGGTCTGGAAAATGGGGAAAGGGGGGGGGGGAAGAGACGAAGGAAGAGAAAAACTCTGGGAACCACAGCAGTTCTGGCCAATTAACATTTTTTTTAAAAATTAAGACCACAGAAACAATTCCGCTTTTTTTAAAAAAAAAAACCTTATGAGATATATAAAAATAGTTTTCAGTGGCTCTGGACAAAAAACAACAACAAATAAAAAGAGCAAATGAAAAGAGGAAAGAAGAAAAACGGCTAACAAAGGTGTTTCCTTTCACATGACTGTGCACCCTCTGGAGGTCGTCCTGGGATCCCCCTAAAACAAAAAGGAAAAGGAACCAAGTATGGAAAAGGATCCTGAACGTCAGCTGCTCCCCTGTCTTAGGGGGTAGGCTCAAGGCACTTCTCACTAGGGTAAGGCAGTTGCTAAACCTGAGAGCTGCTCAACCGCTTTTTGCTGTTCTAGCTAAACCCCCCCCATTGAATGGTACAAGCCAGAACCCCATCTGCATGCCAGGACTTAACAGGCCCTGCTGTGTACAGTCTACTGATTCCGTCTGTACTTGAAACGCCAACATTTCTGTTTCTGCCAGGACCTCAGTACAGAATACTGGGCTTGGGGGTGCTCAGCTTAACAAAGTTCACAATAGGCAGAAGCCCTGGTGGAGATGCAGCCTGAGGCTGCACAGGTATACACAGGCGTAGCAAAGAGCTGTGCCCTGAACTTCTCTGATACAGGCCGGGACCAAGAGGCACAGGAAGGCACTGCATAGCAAAGGCAAAAAAGGTAATACCAAATATTAAGGTAGAAATCTGCAATTGCAGGCATACCAAGGCTCATTCCTGTAATACTGGCTGCCTCTGTTAAAGGGGGAAAAGAGACACATGTTTGTCCCCCTTTCCCACCTCCACAGCTGTGGAAATATGTTCTGGGAAACCCAGAACCTTGGCTTTTTAGAGGCTGGTCACCGCAAGGCAGGCAAAAATAGTTTGCACCTTTTGGCATCGGACAAAGAACGCTCAGAGGATGGCCGCTGTTTTGGCCGGGAAGAGCAAAACACCCTTAGTGCTACCTGCTGGTGAAAGAGGTCTTCCTCTCCAAACTCCGCTTCATCTTCTTCCTCGTTCTCACGCAGGACACTGGACTGTGTCAAGCTCCTCACAGCCACTTCCTAAGAATGGGAGAGACACAACTTACGGTGCCATGCAATGACAAGCACACTCAACAAATCTGCAGTGATATGGCAAAAACGTCTGGACTCTCACAAGCTGGCTGACCCAGGAAAACGAAAGGAACTGCGGCATTTAGTTTTTATTCTCTCACACCAAGGTGACATTTTCCAACTACTTCTACGTCTGGAGCCCCTCCATAAGGATCAGATTCAACAGGAAAACTTTCTTCATTATTCTGGACACAGCAGTGGAGTAAGGCTAGATCTTACACAAGCAGGTTCTAGTTAGAGCCAATAGTTTTCAGAACAAGGAAGATAACACACCTTAAACTAGTGATCAGAAGCTATAGACGATGGTTTCAGATTGGCAGGAGGACTCTCTCTGGCCCTGCCCCAACAGTACCAGCTTGCCTCCCCTTCCCCTCTTTCTCTGCCTCATCCCAACTCCGACTCCCAAACCTGCATCGTACTTGACCATCCCCAAGCTGGCTTCTGCCTCAAGTCTCCCAAAACTGTACAGACACTAATTTCTGCAGTTAAGACAAAGGAGTCAAAAAAAAAAAATCTGGACAAACAGCATCACCTGTTGGGAATTTCCACACTTTTACAGCACAGAAGAAAAAAAAACTAAGACAAAATTAGACAAGGGAATGGTTATGGAGCTGCTTTAAGGATACACAGATCCATTCCCTTCTGTTCCTGTTCAGAGACATGTGGACACCCAGAGTTCATCAGCAACTCTGTCGTGTTCGGTCCCCTTTGCTCTCAGGTTGCTTTACTGTATCAACCTACCTCTCCATCAGAGTTCACCAGGTACGTGCGGATGTTAGCTCCGGTGCCCCAGCTCCCCTGGCTTTTCCACACAAGGACCGATGGCGGACTGTGGGCCACTCCAGCATCGGCAGCCCAGATCTAGAAAGGGGGAAAGACAGGCATCTCCCGAGAGTGCTCAACAGGGCGCTCTTTCTGTAGTTTTCCAGAACGACTGCAAAGACCTGCTCTCACTGTCTGGGGCAGGCAACGCCAGTCAAAGCCAGGCCATCTCCCCTTGCTGCAAGGATTAGCCGCTCAGGCCAGAATGCCAAACGCCTTATGAAGACAGGGCTTCTGCAGTCTCTCTCAACTGGGGGGGGGGGGGGTTTTACAAATATAGATCCTATCACCTGCAGGCAAGGTGAGGACCAGGGCTTTCTCCTGAGACTGCTGCAGATTAAGTGGCACTGGAGCTGTGCAGGAACGACCAGGCGCTACACAAAGAGGTTCATGCGACATCAGGCACACAAGACCGAGGGAAACTGGTGTGTGTGCTTGCAAACCCCGTCCCCACTAGCCTAACACAGCAGCGGCCGTGGGTCACATCCCTTCACGTACATGATGAAGAGCGAATCCAAATCAACAGGCACCAAAACGCGCGTCTCAAAGAGTTGTGACTTACCGTGACAGTCTGTCCGGCCCGGAGGACATACTTTGGAGTAAACTTGTAAGCAATCTCTTCCCCGTCTCCAATCCTCCTCTTCAGTCTCCAGTTACCAAGAGACTGGTCCTGACACAGAAGAACACAAGACAAAATGGAATCTCTCAGCAGCAACAGCAGGTGATCCAGAGTTTCATGACTAGCCGTACTTGGCCGGACACCAGGATTCCACCTCACCAGTGCTTTGGCTGGCCTGACGCATCACTGCAGGCTTCAGCAACAGCAAGTGATACATTCCCAAGTTATTCTACTCTCTCTCTCTATCACCAGAGCAAGTGTACCTTGTCGGAGCGGTTCTTCAGCTGAACGTATTTCCCTTCCGGGTCTATGTCCTCGATGCTGATGCTCCCTTTGGCTGAGGCCTGCTGGGACACTTGGAAGGCACTGCTGGAGGTGCTGCTGCTGCTCCCGGTCCCGATCCCACTGGAGCCGCTGCGGGAGAGCTCCTCCGTCTCGATCCGCTTGCGCTTCCCCCGGGAGGAGCGAGCCATGGGAGTGCTGCTGCTGCTGCTGGAGGTGGCCCGGGAACGGGTGATGTGGGACGGAGGGCTAGGAGACAGCTTCAACCTAGGGCGGAAAGGTGGAGACCAAATCGCACACTAGAGACCAGACAACGGCATGGGATTGTCCCCGTGGGTTATGCACAACTGTCCTTTAGGCACTGCTGGGACAGTCGTGCCACAAATATGTTTGGTTTCTGATGCAGTTAAAAAATGCATTTATTGAGGGGCATTCAAGTCACGCTTCTTGACACGATCTTAGCTCCAGGAGCAGATAGGGTTTGGTTGGGTTCGGGCAAGAGATTCAACACACCTTCCTCACAGATACCACATCCAATTCCCTTCTCAAAATGTGACATAACCCCAAAGACATGACACCCCCCATCTTAATGAGAGCCAGTTTGGTGTAGTGGTTAAGTGTGCGGACTCTAATCTGGGAGAACTGGGTTTGATTCCCCACTCCTCCACTTGCACCTGCTGGATGACCTTGAAAAAGAGCAGTTTCTGTCAGAGCTCTCTCAGCCCCACCTACCTCACAGGGTGTCTGTGGTGGGGAGGGGAAGGGAAAGGAGTTTGTAAGCCGCTCTGAGACACCTTTGGGTAGTGAAGGGCGGGGTATAAATCCAATCTCTTCTCTTCTTCTTAATGGGGCCTACTGCAGGTGCCTGGTCCATGAATAGCCCATTTGTCATCCACAAGGGGAAGGGCCGTCTCGGTGGCTGCCCCTGCCCTCTGGAACCAGCTCCCCAAGGAGGTCCGTGCCCTGCAAGTTCTATTAAGGTTCCATAAGCCATGCAAGGCTGCCTTTGTTTGGTGCAGCATTTAATAAACTAAGAGAATGGGTGAGCTGGCTGGCTGTCCGGATAGGTTCCAGAGCTGATGACCGGTTGAATTTTAATTAGAAACTGTTTTATGGTATTGATTTGCATTTACTGGTTTTATTATCTACTGCCTATACTGTGAACTGCTCCTGAGTCCTCTGTTGAGGAAAGGGTGCGGGCTATAAAATAAATAAAAGCTCCAATTCTACAACACACAGCCTATCAGAGCCTTTTCTGAGAATTCAAATGTGATTGATTCTAACATTTGCTGTTGGTTTACTCTGTTTTAAACATTTTGTACAAAATTTTGTCTCGTTTAAAAGCCCACATGCGGTATAGACAGGCCGGTTAATAAATGGAATGGAAAACAAGGTGATCTCAGTAGAGGGGCAAATGTCACAAACAGAGGGCAGTTTTAAAGAAAGATCAAGTCAAAAGACTAAGCAAATCTAACTCTAACCAAATCTGCTCAGAAGATGTTACATCAATCCTGCTTCACCTATCAAGAGTTGGGAGTGATCCTCACTGAAGAGACTAATTATTTTTGACTGGAATTTGTTTGATGCTGGCGTCTCTTTGTAATATTCCCCTGCACCTTCACTTTCAGATTTTAATAGAAGTACACTGGCCTGATGAATAAACAGATCACACATCTGATGAAGTGGGGCTCTGGCTCAGGAAAGCTTTTTGCAAAATAAGTTTTGTTACTTTTCAAATGCCACTGGAATTTTGCTGCTGCAGACTAACACAGCTATCCATCTGCCTGTGCCTGCGTAACTTAACAAAGGAGGGCTCTGTGTGTAAGGTCATCTCTACAGCACTTTTAGTATACTGCGTGTCCATAAGCATTGTTTGATTCATGGACGGGCAAGAGCATCCACCTGTCTGAGCAGCCATTCTCAGGGAGGGAGGGAAGACTGCCTTGCCCACCCACCCCCACGAAGCCACAAGGCAAGGTCTAGCCATAACTTGCATTAACAAGCAATGCGCCCCCCCACACACACTTGTGGCTGCATTTTCAACTTTTGGACTCCCTTTAGCTACTGCTGAGCAAAAATATAAGACTGTCAAGGCTGAACCAACAGATCCCAAAAACTCTCTGAAGAGGTTGTTGCCAGGCTGACTGGGGGGGAAAATCCCTCAGTGGGGCTCCTCCCTACCTCTCCTCTTCTCCTTCCAGGAGCTTCCGGTAAGCACTGATCTCCATGTCCAGGGCCAGCTTGACGTCCAAGAGCTCCTGGTACTCCAAGAGCTGCTGCTGCATCTGGTCCCGCATTTCCATCATCTCTCTCTCCTTGGCATCCAGCATCTTCCTGAACTTCTCGCGCTCGTTGGCCATCAGCTCTTCCAGCTCCCGGATCCGTTCTTCTGCAGCATTAGCCTGCCCCAGGGGAAGAGGAGGAGAGAGCTCAATGAGAGGAGCTTGAGACCGGGGCCTAGGAAGGGCGAGTCCTGGACGGGACAGGCAGAACTAGCCTAAATTTTTACAGCAAGAGGCTTGGCGTTCAGAGCTCCATGGACTATGGGGGGAGGAGAAACGCGAGTGACTCAGCAGTCTGATGTAGAGCATCGGTGTGCGCATCTCTTGCAGAATTGTCAAGTGGTAAGACAGAAAAGGCATGCACAAAGGTTTTTTTTTTTTTTTTGAACACTCCAACAACAGTAGTGGGAAAACTCTGAGTAGCATGATCTGAGACCCTCCCTCTAATCTGGGGGAGCACTGGGATCATTACACAGTTATGGCTAAGATGTTATTATGGTCAGTTATGAAGAAGTTATGGACTTCCACAGCGTCCTGACCCTCCATTCTTCTGGACTTACCGTGGGACATGGAAGGGTAGAGGGTAGAGGAAGCAGGGCAGGGGGTAGAGGCTGTTACAGAAGCCGCTGGGCAGAAAGAAAGGTCTGTCTGTTTCCCCCTCACCTGCTTTTGCAGCCCGGAAAGCTGGTAGCTGAGAGAATCTATCCTCACGCGAGCCTCCTTCAGTTCTTCCCGTGCGGCGCTGGCAGCCTTGTCGTTTTGATCGGAGGAGAGCTTGGCATTCTCCAGCTGGAACGACGAGGACAACCAAAAAACCCCACAAGATTACTACCTGTCTACAGCCTCTAAAGAGGGGCAGAATAAATCTAAACGGGCCCCTAAAAAGGGAGGGCTCCCAAGTGTGGGTTGGGATTGAAGCAGATACATGGACACCCAAGAAGCTGTCTTATTCTGAATCAGACGCTCGGCTGGTCTATCAGGGTCAGCACTGTCCATTCAGACTGGCAGGAGCTCTCCAGGGCCTCAGGTCCAGGTCTTTCACATCATGTACGGCCTGGTCCTTTCCACTGGACATGCTGAGGATAGAGGCTGGGACCTTCTGTGTGCCAAGCAGATGCTCTACCAATGAGCCGCCTGCCCCAGAATGTGTTCACTCTGACCGGACTCCTAGTTCTGAACGACTGTCCTGCTCCCAGCAAGCACACTTCCAGGTGCACCCCTCTTGTTACTCTCCAGAGGATCCAAGGGGCTCCAAGATCTCCTCTTCCAGCAGCCCCGACAGAAAGCCGAGTGAGGCCAGGCCTGGGAGCTGCTACCTGGTTGTGGGCAGACGTGGTCAAGGCTTCCCTTGCCATTAGCGTTCAGCCAGGACTTAATGTCTGCAGTGCTTCTCCTGGGGAGAGCCACCTCTGCTGCCCAGGCTATTTTCCCTGGGCTGTGTGTCCACACTGCAGGGGCCAGGGGCGGAAGCCGGCGGGAAGGTTGGCAAGGCTAACATCTCAGAACTAGGAGGAGGAGGAGATTGGATTTATACCCCGCCCTTCACTACCCAAGGGAGTCTCAGAGCGGCTTACAAATTCCTTTCCCTTCCCCTCCCCACAACAGACACCCTGTGAGGCTGAGAGCGCTCTGACAGAACCTGTTCTTTTCCAAGAACAACTGTGCCAGAACTATGGCTTGTCATCCAGCAGGTGCAAGTGGAGGAGTGGGGAATCAAACCCAGTTCTCCCAGATTAGAGTCCGCGCACTTAACCACCACACCAAACTGGCTCTTGAGTGCTGAGAGTGCTTAAATCGTCCCCAAATCTCTTCGTTCCTGGGGGGAACAAGCAAGAGGATTTCTGAGCCATGAAGAAAACTCTGTGGAAGTACCAAACCTGGCAGGCAGGCAGATCAAATGGGCCAAGACACATCCAAGACCGCACTGGCCTGCACTTTTCCCATTCATGGTGCAAACAGCCTCCCAAGGAGCCATATTTTACAGCTGAAAGACTGACCTCTCTGAGGCGTCAACGGAATGGGAGGGAGGCTGGGCTCTTGGGAGGGGGATCCTGTGCCTGCAGCTCATTTGGACGACTCACCTTGGCCTGGTAGGTCTGCTCCAACTCCAGCTTGTAGAGCCGGACCTGCTCGTCATGCTGGCTGCGCAAGTCCTCCAGGGCCTGGGCCATCTTGGACTGGTACTCATGCTGGTGGCCGCTGTCTACTTCCACCAGCTGGCGCTCGTGCCACTTCCGGGTCTCCCTCACTTCCTGTACGAAACCAATTCAGTCACAGTCCCCAGTTAAGGCGGCTCGAAAAGACAAGCATGGAAATATGGCTGGACTCCAAAGTGGGGTGACAGAACCAAGCCAAGGACTGGCACAAGGGCATTTTAAGGGGACATGGGGGGGTCACCCCTTCTAAAGCTGGAATGCCAGTGTGTGCTTCCTTGCGTATTAGGACTGAATGGCCTGTCCTGAAAATTCAGCTTAAATATTTCCCTCCGAGAAGCTCAACCCCAACTTGAAACCCAATCCCAAGGGACTGTGGAACATCCACTCCTCTCCCTACCCGCTCCAATTTCATTCAACACAGCAGGCTGGGTGACAACCAAACCGAAGTCTCTCAGTGGCTGCGTAGCCCCCATTCTTCCTCATGTCAATGCAGGCCCCACAACGGGGACCCTCCATGCCCTGCTTGTGACTCTGGAAACCCCACCTGCCAAGGTGCCACGGAATAACCTGTTGGAAATACGTGTGTTGCAGGGTCTAAAATTCAGTCATTATAGGGTTAATGTGTGTTTACCTCGTGTGCTATTGTTTAGACTGACCTGGAAGGGAACCCTGCACAGAGCCAATGGAGAGAAAGCCTGGGAAACGGAAGCGTATTTACTAACAATCATTGGTTAATACATTCAGGTATCTAGGGGTCAAGAAGAAGAAGAATCTCCATTGTTGTAGACTGTGTGGTCAAAGTGTAAAGATGTAGTCTTAGGTATCTCTTTGTTTTGTAGATTTCCTGTGAACCCTTCCCTTAGAAATAAAGATTTTTACATAGAAGAAAATGCCTCCTCTCCAGTGAAACAAAGACCCATTGCAATCTCTGAATATTTAACTATTTTTACCCATTTTTACAACATAACCCCCCCCCCAAGATGGGATCAGCCCACCTCCTCAAAAATGCTCTTCCTGAAGTCAAGCTCCTCCTGCAGACTCTGGCAGCGATTCTCCAGGTCCACCCTCATCAGCGTCTCCTTCTCCAGCTGCTTCTTGGCCACCGCATGGGCATCTTCAGACTGGGTGGGAAGAGGTCAGAGTCAGAGAGGATTCCGCTTGTGTGACACACACACAGAAACACCAGGAATTTCATCAGCAAGCCAACTGTTTTTATCCTGACTCGAGCTGCATCTCTCTCCAAGCGCTGAGATTCCATCTGTTAAGTTCATCAGAATGGGCACACCCAGACAGCAGAACCATTCCCAGGAACCACGCCAGGCACCTGCACTTCAGGGGTGTCACATAAAGCTAAGTGCCTGTCAGTTCTGATGAGACAAAAGACAATATGCTCTATAGCTCCTTCCCACTCCAGACTCTGTCCCCATCTCAGTCTTCCCAATCCACTGTGTACTGTGATATAGTAAAAACTGAAATATTTTGATTTTTTAAGTATGGGGTTTTTTATTTACTCATTCTTAACTGCAAGAAGCCCTAATTAAGTAGTGACCTTGCCATGCATGTTTCTCAAATCCCTAGGCTGCTAGAGGCTGCAAGTGTAATGGAATAATAACTGTACAATTAAGCCCTATTAGTACAGTTCCTGTACACAGAGATCAATCTCAGCAAAAGCACTGAGCTAATCCTAGCCCTCCCAACTTTCACCTACTGGAAGACTCCCAAAATCTCTCCCCATAAGCTATTCTCAACCACCCCTTTTTATAACAAGCAGCTTGATTTTCACACACACACACACACACACACACACACACACACACACACACACACCATATATAATAAGATGGCTTGAAACACAGGGGAAAGAATTCAAGCCCACCTGAAAAGGTACATCACATATGCCAACTTGAACTTACACACAAGATGTACTGGAGCTTAAAGGACTTTTGATTTTTGTGCATTCATGTATATAAAAAGCCAACATCAACCAGCTAGAGAATATGGGTACTCAGCACATGTAGTCCCTAAATTGGGCAATTACACAGCATTACGGCCAGAAGGTGCACAAAAGCAGGGCAGGCTTTCTCCAGGTACCACTGGGGATTGCAGGTGCATGCAGCACTTTTTTATATTATGCATTGCTGCTTGTCATTACTGCTCAAACTTGTGCCTACACACAAGCCTTGCAAGCAGCCCTCTAACCCAGGTATGTCCAACAGGTAGATCACGATCTACCAGTAGATCACGGAGGGGTCAGAGGTAGATCACCAGCCCCACTTGGTCTCCTGGTTTAGGTAAAAAATGTTTGCAGTTCTTTCTGGATCTTCGTCTCTCTGTTTTGTTTTTGCTTATTTTGCTTACCAGTAAATGACAGAAGGTGCATTATAAATGGGGGGGTGGGGGACCGAACCCAACTTTAGTGGGTTAAAATCTAATTTGAAACTAATTTGAAACTTTATTTTCATGGTGGTAGATCACCAGCACTTTTGGCTGGAAAAAACAGATCACTACCTGTTCGAAGTTGGACATGCCTGCTCTAACCCATTACTGTAATTTCCAGTGCCAAAGATCACCTTCTAAGACTATTCTGCATGCTTTAATAATGCCTCAGTGTATGAAGAGCTGCAAACTGCTACGGGGTGAGGGGTCTGTCCGTAAAAAACACACACACACTCAAATTATGTATGGATGAAAACCAGAGGAAAAAATATTCCCCCTAAATAAGTGAGGAATCCATGGTACACTAGCACCATCTACTGGCCATCAGTGAAAGCATCAAAATGTATTTAAAGGTGAATTTTCCACAAAAATTTACAGGCTACTTTTCAACAATTCCATTTTTTGGGGGGGGGGGGCTCCATCAAAAAAAGAACAGAAATGCAATAACCAATCCTACAGCAGCAAATGGTTCTAAGTCTGCACAATCAGGACCCAAAGAGATATAACGTGAAAAGTACATTCGACTCTGACCCAGACAGAGAAGGGCTACCCCCCCACGAGAATGCCAAGCCAAAGAAAGAGCTAGCCCACATAAACTCCCCCGAACGTGAGCCCCACATCTCATCTGAGCGCTCTGAAACAGCATCACAGGGAGAAGGAGCACTATGAATCCCAGTCAAGACTGGGCCACATGCTGGGCTGAAGCTTCTGCCCTTTCCCAGAAGAGGTGTCGGCGAGACACGGATGCTCAAGTAGGAAAGCTATATGCCTTGGCTTCATGCAATCCCAAGGACTCAACTTTAAACCTAACAGCAATAAACTGGTTGCATGTTTCCTGAAAACCTCCCCTGAATTCTGCATTGTAAATCCAACACGCTAGCCTGCCAAGAGAACACCAGTTCTGTTTTCTAAACGACCTAAATGAGAAAACTGTAACGCTTCCGGAACCATGAACAGGGATTCTGGTGATTTTCATCCTGCAAAAAAACAGGTGCATTTCATCATGGCCGTACATGTTACGCCTCCGACACAGGTTCTACACTAAGCCTAACTAGATGAAGGAACAAGGCAACTCCATTACTGACAGGAAAAATGCAGCGCAGTAGAATCCAGCAGCTAAAGAGCAGTAAGCACAACCTTCCTCCCCACAAGCACTGTATCTAGCCTATTAAAACTGTCCTTTCCAAACCTAACCAGTGCCCCAGCATTTCCCTGAGTCACATCACCCACCACGATCAAAGCCTCTGCCAGCACCATTGTCGTTTTACCTTAGCCAGCTGGGAACGCAGATCTGCCACCTCTGCCTCCAGGTTGCGCTTCTCAGTCAGGGTGGCCGTGAGCTCCGCTTCGCTTCTATGGAAGAGGACTTCGAGCTCTTTGATGCGACCCTGAGACGTGGACCACTCGCCATCCTTCTTTTTATAGCTAGGGAAACCGACAAGAGGGAAATCAGCATCTATCTTCTCTATCAGTGGCCTGGTAACAAACACCCCTGGGGTCTTGGGTAGATGCAGCTTCGAGCCACCAGCTGTCACACAGAGGCAAACGGTCACACCCATGCAAACACCCAGAAAGCAGGACTACTGTGTGTTCCTATTATCCATGGAATGAAGGGTTTCTCTCACAGCAGCAGATCAGATTATACAGCCCATGTTTTGCAAGCAAAGGCTTCGTTTACTTATGAACAAACCAGACCACCTTACCACATTTGACTGTTCTCATGGCCAAACACGTTTTTGTTTGTTGTTTTTGAGGAGAAACACACTCCCACCCAAGAATTCATCCCAATGTTTCTGTTATTGTGAGTGTTCTCTGTCCACAGAGTTATGAGGCCTGCTGCAGAATGACAGGTGGCAGAAGGCTGGAGATCGTAGCCCTCCTGCTCCCAGCACAAAGCACTCAAGCTCTTAGTTATGCTAACACGGATTACCTCATTCCCTGCCAGTACGTCACACCTACAGCCAAAAGCTGGAGAGGCTAAAGTGACAGGAAGGTCATCCAGAAAACGTGTGCTCGTTTATCCATTTATTGAACTTCCTTATATTTTGAATGCTCTAAGTCTGATCTCTGGAAAGACACCACCCATATTTAACCTTGCTGTCTCAAGTGTGGTACTGCAGGGTGGGCAGCAGAGCAACTCTCCACCCTGGAGCACGGTAGCGCTAAAGTGTGAAGTTGTGACAGACGGCCCCCCCACACTTGTACACAGAAGGGAGGTGGGAGGCACAGTAACTAGGCGGGTCCCCTAAACGGCAACACAGGGACAGAGCACTAAATGTATGACTCCATCTGGCAGGAGATGCTCCTAAGAGCCGTAGATGGAAACTGGAGGTTACCCAGGGCACCCCAGGGGAGTTACCGGAAGGGGTGCTTCACCAAGTGGAGACTTGGGGCAGCAGCGGGGTTCTTCTGACCTTCTGGGGGAGGAGGAATAAAGAAGGGCTCGACAGCCCACTCCTTCAGTTCTATTTAGAAGAATGATACGCTGCCTTTCTAGAGACTTGCTGGAGGAGACCCACAAGTAAAAACAATGAGAAAAATCATAAAACAATTTATGAGTATTTAAAGCAAGCCATTAAAAGAAGCTAGGAGCATGAAAGCAGCATAAAGTGATACTCTGAACAGTCTTTGGGCTAGAAGCAGACCATGGAAACAGCTAACAAGACAGAAACTCACAGTTCTGGGTAAAAAAAAAGTTTTGATCTGGTGACTAAAGTTTTGATCTGGCAATAAAGTGAGCGCCAGGAGGAAGAGGGCATTCCAAAAGGAAGGTGTCACCACCACTATAAAAGCCCTGACTCTAGTTGAGAGCTGCCTCATCTCTGCAGATGTGGAGTATGAAGAGAGCACGGATTAAGATGCGCTGGAGGAAATGGTCCTTTCAGACAAGAGGCTTCATACTGAAGTCCTCACAGCCCTTTGATGGGTTCAGTTGACTCAGACTACAGCTAACAAAGGCACCAGAACAGTCCAGAAATGAAGATCTTCAGATCCAGCAATGGTGCAAAGGACAACGTAGCTGCCGAGAGATACAGGCAACCAGGGTCCCCACAGTAGAGAGTCAGATTTCAAACAGTGAAACCCAGTGGAGGTTGAAGGGTTAAGAACCTTTCCCTCCACAAGTTGCGGGAGCCTGCAACAGTTAATTTATCTACTGATCCTCCTCTCCTCTGTTGCGGGTGACTGTTGCCAAATCCCTGATGAAGAATATAGGGTGGGGCCTGGTACTGTCATACATTTCACAGCGCTGCCTGCTTAATCCAACCAAGATCAATCCTGGGCCATGTAACCGAGTTGTGTACCCCTGCTACAGAGGAAGGGCTGCTGCTCTGCAAAGCTAAAACTGTCCTGGGGGGGGGTGTATCTCTGCCCCTTAGTTGCCAGCTGATCCATGCACATGCCAGCTGGGCCCCTGCTGGGTAGGAATGCAAAACCAAGGCAATGAGTCCTCCCTGGCCCTTTTCCAGCAGCTCTTCTGTGCTTCCTATCACGTATGGTATCACCCCAGACAAGGAGGACAGACTGTGGTCTGAGAGGATAGTATTTCAGAGTACCTGGAACAGTAACTAAATGGCCAATGCAAACTGCTGGAAGGCTACTGACCTGAGCCCGCCACCAGCACTGACTGTGACATTCTAGTTGCTGCTGACAGTGGCGGAATTTTTCCAAACAGAGTTTAAATTTGTGCTTGAGAGGACAAGGAAAAAGAAGTGAACATAGTGGCAGCAAGAGTGCAGCACTGGCACTGGGACGGGGGGAATGGCCAGGGCCTGGGGGAGGAAAGTGCCATTGAGGGATGATTTGTCAGTAAAAATCCTACTCAACCCAGCACCTGTACGATTTGCAAGCCACATTTAACATCATTTGAAGTTACTTAGGGGCTCAAAGAGTTAATCCCTGGTTTTCATTTCAGGGAAAACACTGCCCAACTTTGCAACAGTTTAGATAGCCAGAGTCTTAAACAGTTACAATCATCCCAGATCTTTGGTTGCAAATTCCTTTGAAGGAAGGTCCTGCAAGGTGAGAGAATTCTGAAATTCAGCCTTGATTGATCATGTTCAAGGACAAAACACGAAAGGGCGCACATGCTAAAACCAGATTTTTTTAAAAAAGCTTTTTGGAAACACGGCTCCTCTGGCATAAGCACCACGCAGATCCAGGCCGTGCAAGGCAGAGGGCAGAATATTTGGCATATTTCATATCAGTCTGCAAAATTAAATCCTCGGTATGCTAACTATGTCCTGACCTGGATAGCCCAGACTGGCCTGATCTTGTCCGATCTCACTAGCTAAACGGGGGCCAGCCCTGGTTAGTATTTGGATGGGAGCCCACCATGAAATCCCAGGGCTGCTAGGAAGAGGCTAGGGAAAGTTGAAGGCAGCAGGACAAGGGGAAGACCCAACGTGAGGTGGATTATAAAGAAAGCCACGACCCCCTCAGTTTGCAAGCCCCAAGCAAGGCTGTTAGCGATAGGATGTTTGGGAGGACATTAATCCATGGGGCCGCACCATATGTCAGAAGCGACCTGACGGCACTTTACACAGGCAAAGGCAGGCAGTGGCAAACCACCTCTGAACATCTCTTGCCTTGAAAACCCCATCAAGGGTCACTATAAGTCAGCTGTGACTTGCCAGCCAAAAGGGGGGGGGGTGAGCTAGCTATCTGGCAGGCAGTAGAAAAACGTACTGCACATTCAGACACAGCAGCAAGCCACCAAGTGCAAATGTATTAAACAGGACATCTCCGCTTTTAAAGAAACAAGGTGTCACAAACAGTGCCTGCAGCCCGAGCAGGCTGTCAAGAGCCACTTATCCGGAAAAACATCTTAACAGTCAGCGTGAATGCTCCTGGAAAAGAACAGGAAGGTAGGACTGAAGCAGTCTAAATGGATACAGTCGTTTGACGCTTGGCATCGCTGCTTGGAGGGGGGGTGTCCCCACTTATCTCCTGTGTCTTGCAAGGCTCTAGCTTCCAAGCAAGCTGTGGAGGCAAACTGAAGAGATCATAGCAACGCCAGCTTTATAACACGTATTTTGCACACAGACAACCAACGTGAGAATCAGTGCTAAGCCTATTTTCACATAAATATAATGGTATTTGGATGGGAGACCTCCAAGGAATGCCAGGGTAACGCAAAACCACTGCTGAACGTTTCTTGCTTTGAAAACCCAACAGGGTCGCAATAAGTCAGCTGTGACTTGATGGCAAAGCACGCACATGGAAAGATAATAATGGGAAGCCAGCACAGTGCTTATGAATAAGGAAGCTGAAGGTAAGTCTACATGCAAACGTGTGGAACAAAAACACTAACAGATGAGGAAACAGGGTGCTCCTAACAGCCAGACTGCTTAACTTCAGCTTCAGATTACTCATATAAATCAGCCCTCAGACTAGCTTTCCGCTTCAGATTACTCATATAAATCAGCCCTCAATGTAACGCTCTAGCAACAAGATGCCGCCAGCAAGAAATACTGATCAATACTTTAAAGACGACAAGGGTCATAAATGATATGAAATTGGGAGCAAGCAGGATACTGGCAAAGTTTGTGAATGATGCCAAATTATTCACAGTGCGGAAAACCAAAGAAGATGGTGAAGAACTTCAGGAGGATCTCTTTCAATTGGGTTGACTGGGGACAAATGAAGATCTCTGTAGGTAAGTGTAATGTGATGCCCCTTTGACAAAAAAACTCTTGACTTTAAATATATGGTGATGGGGTCTGAACAGGCCAAGAAGATCTTGAGGGTGAAGTGGACAGCTCAATGAAAACGGTGACTCAGTGATGAAAAATACAAACGCCATGCTGGGGATTATTAGAAAAGGAGTGAAGATGAAACGGCCAATACTGAAATGCCCTTGTATAGATTTATGATGTAGCCTCATTTGGAATACTGTGTAAAGTGCTGATTGCTGTATCAAAAAAGATATTGCAGAACTAGGAAAAAAAATGAGAAAAAGGGAAGCAAGATGATTCATAAGCTAGGACACCCTTCCTTTGAAGGCTTTTCAATTTACGGGGGGAAGGGGATGAAGGCAGGCAGGGGAGGGGGAGATAACATGACTAAGATGTTGATGAAATTAAATATGTGATACAGGAAGTGGACAGAGAGAACAAAAATCTTCCTCTTTCATCATATTAGAACACGGGGGCACCCAATGAAGTTGATGGGCAATAAAGACAGGATAGGGGGGGGAAAGGACTCATTCATTTAACAAGGAATTAAACTGTGAAATTCCCTGCCAGTGGTTGTAATGATGGCCACGAACACAGACGGGATTTAAATGGGGATTGGACAGGTTCACGGAAATGAAGGTCCATCAGTGGTTACTAGCTAAGATGATTAAAGAGAACTTTCACGCCCAGAGGCAGTAAAGCTCCTCTGAAAATCAGTGCCAGAGGGCACCACCAGGAGAACCACTCAACCTCTGTGCCCTGTTTCTTAGCTTTCTGACAACTGGCTCGCCACTGCAGAATGCTGGACTAGATGGACTTCTGGCTGAGTGACATGGGCACTTCTCCTGTTCTCAGGAACCGAAAGACACAGCTCTGTGCCCAGGAACTCAGAACCGGGCTATATGAACACCTGCTCTTTGAAAGGAGGGAATCTGATTCCAGGCGGCTATATGAACTCCTGCTCTTTGAAAGGAGGGAATCTGATTCCAGCCCCTTCCTGCGAGGTGACAGGGCTCCATTTTGCCATGATGTGGATGAATGTGAGAGGAGTTCACCGAACAACTTGAAGACATCCTAAGAGTACCCTTGCGGACCCCCCCAGGCATCCCCAGACCACAGAACCCAAATCCCTTTTGTACAGCTGGTTTATACAGGTCATCAGCAGGTTACTGCTGCATTCTGAAACGAAACTGCACCGATTATTCCCCCTTACCTCTTATTGAGTTCATCAAGCTCTGATCTCAGTTTTCCTATTTCAATCTGGAGCTTTGCCCTCTCTCTTGCCGTCTCATCCAGAACTCTACGGGCATCTGCCAACTCCGACTCATAGAGGGCCTTGATCCCAGTCACCTGCGTTTGTAAAAGCAAGAATCAACTGTCAGAACCAGCAACTTATGAGTCCTGAAGAACCAAGAACCAGCTTGTGTTCTACGGTAAGGTACTACTCGGCATGCAAAGTGGTAGGCGGGAGAGGTAGTTTCCTGATTCCGAAGAGCAGCACTGGGGTGGGGGTTTTCAGGACCCATCTACATGACAACTATTTACCAGACCAATGCAGATGGTATAGAGCAGGGGTGTCAAATATGTGGCCCGAGGGCTGGATCAGGCCCCCGGAGGGCTTCTATCAGGCCCGCAGTGGAACTGGCTGTCTTCTGGTTCTTCTTCCAGTTCTGCTGCTGCCGCGTCATCGTAGGTTTGCAGCTTACAGATACACACCTGAACAGCGTACTCAAGATAGCAACAGCACAGACATTTTGATGTAATAATTCAGAGCAAGAGGTGTCAGTTATCAGACACTGTTAAACAAAATATTGCAAGAGTGATAACGTTTTAAGCATGTTTTTATTCTAAGTAAAAAAAAAACCTTTGTGTTTGTGTCCTTTATAAAGTTTATATCTCCGCTACCTGGCATTACATTTTATGACACACATGGTTTGGCCCAACAAGGTCTCATTTATGTCAGATCCGGCCCTCATAACAAATGAGTTCGACACCCCTGGTATAGAGGATATGGCAGATGAGCTCAAGCCTGCCTGACTAATGCAGGAGGGGGGGCTTCAAATCTTCTCTTTTGACTGTTCTTTGGAGACACAACAATTTCCATCATGTGCTCCTAAATGCCTCTCAGTGTTGGCTTTTATGCAAACTGTGAGAGGCTGCCCTTACTCCTCCTGAAGAGATGAGAAGCTAAGCCAAAGCCACCAAGTCAACAGCTAGCAGCATTGTGTAGTGGTTGAAGGGCTGGACGAGGATTTCAGGGACCCAAGCGTGAGAGACCCTACACTGCCACAGAAGCCAGCTGAGTGACCTTGGGCCAGACACTCAATCTGTCTCACCTACTTTACTGGGCTGCTGTCAGCATAAAACAAAGAAGGAAAGAATATTGTTAAGCTGCTTCGGATCCCCATTGGGGAGGAAAGGGGATTATAAATGAAGTAAATAAATAACATGTTAGTACATAATTAATCAACAATAACAACATATGCTCCAAAGGGTTCCACAGTCTTCTGAATTTACTGGCAGGGCTAAGTCACTTCAATGACCCTTATCAGGAAAAAGTCGCTGACAATCCTTGAATAAACATTCTTATCAGTCTTGCTTCCTTTCTTCGCTTTTCCTAAGGCACTTCACATGAATTTTCTCAGAAAACATTGCACCACCACCGGAGAAGCCAGGAATTTCTCGAAGTAACACCAGTTCCCTTGGATCCCCATCTCCCACATAAGAGCACGCATATCTGTTCAAATCGATTCCAGAATTTCCAGTTGAGTCACAGATGTTCATGATGGCACACGCCTGAGCATCCAAAGCAAGCTAAAGTTAGAAAGGGCTGAGCTTTGAGCTAAAATGTGCAACTTGTCACTAAACATCGACCTCTTTACCAGAGTACCAAAAGGAAGCCTATGGAACGACAGGGTTTTTTTTTGTTTTTTTTTAAAGCTGTTATAAGAAAAGCAGGCCAAGTACAGACCAGACAGTGCTGGGAAAATGGATGGAAAGCCTTGTGGGCAAGAATAGTCAAACTGAAGAACAAGCTTTGATGAGCTTACAAAGGAAAGCCTGGCCTCACAGACAACCTTAAATCCTTCAGCATATAAACAGTGTTAGTAGCAGACATTGTAGCAGGGCTAATCTAGCAAACATAATGTGCAATCCGAAACAGAGTTAACCTTCTAATTCCATGGAAGTTAATGGGCTTAGAAGGGTGTAATTCTGTTTAGGATTACACTGGTAACATACTAACATTTTAATACTGATACATATTTAATACTAGTAACTTATGTGATTTTTTTGTGTCCGTAATCCTATGGTACTTTATTTATGTATAGTCTGCCTTTCTCATCTGGACTCAAGGTGGATTACACAGGGTATTGTTTTTACTTGTGCACTGCTAGAAGGAGTTGTCCAGGGAGGCAGCATACAAATTCTGTAAATAAAAATATCAGAATCTTTGAATGGAGGCTCTGAAACTTAGCATCTCTGGATAAGAGGATTCCCTTATGAGGCAGTAACTGGTTAAATGATAAGTAGCAGTGGGGAAGGAGCAAGAGGGCACTGTGTGCAACGAAGGAAAGCGAGCGATGGGCTGTACTGGAATGGATGCTGTTTAGTTAATCCATAAATGAACCTGAGTCAGAAGGGGGAAGGCAAAGCACAATGATTTGTAGAAAAACACCTGATTATTCGGGATGGCGAAATCCCAAGCAGGCTGCAAAGAGCTCCAAAAGGATCAATGTAAGAAAGCATCCAAAAAGATTCAATGTAAGAAAGAGCAGAGGGAAGCACATCAGGGCAAAAAAGAACCCCTTGCTTCACATATAGGCCAACAGCTTTGCTTCTAGACTCATAGACAGCAGCAGTGGCCAAGAGTGCTTCAGTGTAGGTCTTCTTTCAGTATATGAATTTTCCACATAGTGCAGGGGGTTGGACTAGATGATCCTCCTCAAGGGTCCGTTCCAGCTCTGTGTCTCTACTTGTCCCACCAGATTTTTGAGAAAGTAGCTTCTGCTTCCTGGCTTTAGTTGCTGCTTCTGGTTTGTTATATTGGTTTTAATGTTAATTTGAAGAGGTCACAATCTCTACTGTTTCAAATTGCAGGTTGATTTGAAAGCTGCCATTGAAATGCAGCCACACAAATTTGAGCAAATAAATTTGATCCGTTCAGGAAAAATCTCTTCAAGCTGTGCTCTCTGAAAAGGATCATGAATAAACAAACTTGATGATGAGAATTTAGTTAATGCAGGAATTTAAAAAAAGTGTGATTTATTTATAATGATTATTCTGTTAGGTGACCATGGGCTGGCTCCAGACTGCTTCCCATTAACAAAAGGGGTGGGGTAATTTCTACCAATTCCTGCTTCAGACCCCTGAGTTGCCTCTCACGCTGTTCCCTGCCCCCCAGGAGCAGCACTGGTGGCCTTGATGAAGGCAGAAAGGCAGGGTATACATTCTGTAAATAAGTCAGCAGACCGCAGGGGCATTACCTTGTGCCACTGATGAAAGTGCCTTTTGGGAGTGGAATACTTAGTCTGTACCAATGTTCCACCTAAGCTGTGAAGTCTTGTGAGCAAAAATTCTCCTTTGTGAGCTCCTGGCATAAGAACATAAGAGATGCCAATGTTGGATCAGGCCAAAGGCCCATCCAGTCCAACACTCTGTATCCCACAGTGGCCAGAAATACCAGTGCCATCAGGAGGTCCACCAGTGGGGCCAGGACATTAGAAGCCCTCCCACTGTTGACCCCCCCCAAGCACCAAGATGACAAAGCATCACTTGCCCCAGAGTCCCTATCTATACCTTGTGGCTAATAGCCATTGATGGACCTCTGCTCCATATGCTTATCTAATTCCCTTTTGAAGCCGTCCATGCTTGTAGCTGACACCACTTCCTGTGGCAGTGAGTTCCATGTGTTAATCACTCTTTGGGTGAAGAAGTACTTCCTTTTATCCGTTCTAACCCGACCGCTCAGCAATTTCATGGAGTGCCCACGGGTTCTTGTATTGTGAGAAAGGGAGAAAAGTACCTCTTTCTCTACCTGCTCTTTCCCATACATAATCTTATAAACCTCAATCATGTCACCCCTCAGTCGTCGTTTCTCCAAGCTAAAGAGCCCTAAGCGCCTTAACCTTTCCTCATAGGGAAAGTGTTCCAACCACAGCATTAAAGCTGTGAGTGAGCGACTTGGCTACTGCATAAATTAGCTTGCTCTGGAGCCATCCTGCCTGAGCGAAGGCAAAAAATGTGTGAGCTGGAGGCTAAGACACTGTGAGCTAGCTCATCCTAACTCAGCTGAGAGGGAACACTGGTCTGGACCCAATCCCATATTTAGTATAGTGTGAATAGTGTTGGGCACCCCATCTCGGAAAGGAAAAAGCTACAGAAATTGCCACTAAAATGATCCAGGGACTGGAGAATCTTGCCTTCAAGGTAAGGCTGAAGAGTTTGGGAGGAAAAGGCAACTAGGGGGCAAGAGATATCGTAGGTCTATGGCTCAACGACAGAGCATCTGCCTAGCAGGCAGAAGGATCCAGGTTCAATCCCTGGCATCTCCAGTGAAAAGGATCAGGTTGTTACGCGCTCCCAAGCGGCTTCTGGCAACCCTATGAATTATTGACCTCCCAAGCATCCTATTGTTTACAACCTTGCCTGGGTCTTGCAAACTGAAGACCATGGCTTCCTCTATCAGTTGTAGGTGATGTGAAAGACTTCTTCCTGAGAGAGCTATTGCCTGTGTAGATCTATCGAGCGGACCTGACTCAGTATACGGTAGCGTGATGAGTATACAATGCCATTAATAGTGCAGAACTAATAGAAAAACTATTTTACTCACAGTGAAGCTTATTAGAGAAAGAAAATGATGTTCCTTACACAATGCATAATTAACTGATGGAATTAATTATCACAGCATGAGATGTGAACTGTTTGCTTAGGCTATACTTTTTTTTTTTTTTGGAAGGGAAGGATTAGCTAAATTCCTGCAAGAGGTACTTCGCCAGAAGAAGCTGCCCAAGCAGTGTGTGAAAACAGAAAGCTGGACTGGTCTGATCCCATGTAAGGCAATGTGTCCTTTTTTACGACTTTGTTAGCCAGTCCCTCCAACTAAAAATAAACCCTGAATTGTCCACTCACACCACAAGAGTTAGACTCGCAGGAACTGTAAAGTAAGAACTCTTAATTACACCTCATGAATTCTTTATTGACTGGCTTTGCTCCTTCCCTGCTATGACTGCCAGACTAGCACACCGGTTGTGTGTTTCCTTCTGCACTGCAAAGACTATAAGGAAGCTCCCCCCCCCAAGCACAGGACCCCTTGCTGGACTAGGAACCTTCTCAAAAACACATGCTTCAAATGGCCAAAATCCAGCTGCTCCAATTCCCCACAACTTCTCAGCACGAATAGGATTACCACTCCTGGGTGCCACTTTTACATAAGACTGCAAATTCTCCTTTAAGGGCAGTTAGCCCCTGCTCCATTTGCTGTCTGCTGGATGGTTAGGACAACCTCCCGAGAACTGGCGCTTTGGCTGGGAGACCCTCTGAGTTTCCAGCTCCATGCCTCCACCCCAGAGCAAAAAATTCTGTCCCACGCCCTTCCTAATAACCAGTCTACAGAGATAACGGTCATTTCATATTTTCAAACAAGCCGCCTAGATTTTACACCAGGGAGCGCCCGAGACTGGCTGGCTAAGAGCCAAGCTCCATTCACTCTCCTACCGCAAACAACTAGAAACAAATCAGGGCCGGGTGAGTAAAGCAGGGATCTCAGCCGTGCTTCCTGCCAGTTACAACTTATGCATCTCCAAAGATTTGCCTGACAGATAAAATGCCTTTCTTGCACTAAGCTTGTGAGTTTGGCAGCCGTAGCTCCAATGCAGACACACCCTTGGGTGATCTGGAGCGCTCCACCCAGACCATAGCTATTTCAGCAACCCTTATTAGACTTTGTAGAAAGGTATCTTAGCTGCCTTATCACGCAAAGCCCAGGGAATGCATTTCACTGAAATCGGTGGAACTTCACTAAAGTCTGAGGGCAGAGGCCGAATGTCAAGATGCTGCCCCCCCAAAGCACGCTCCAGTTCACAACAATGCCACTGTTTCCAAACAGAAGAGGAGCTGCTATGCTATTTACTCAAAAGTGTGAAACTTAAATGGGATCGCCTCATTTCTCAGGAACTGCATTCTCCTCTGGTTCCAGACAGAAATGAAACAAGGAAGAGCACAGGCACACATAAGTACAAGCAGCAGGCCAGACCCAGAGATACTGGGTCTCAAAATGCAGGGCAGGCATTGGCTGTCTGAAGAGGAACACTACCTCATTTTCTAAGGGGGGGGGGATTTCCCAACTGATGATGTGTCCTCCCCTCTTCCTCCCCAATTGATTCATCAACTTTTTCTAAAGCCCTTCTAGGGACTCTCCACAGATCCTGCAGCGCTGCCCCCAGGAAATGGCATACAACTGAAGAGTCAGGCTAGTCCCACCAGGTTTCTGAGAAGTCACTACTGGCTACAAGGGAGAAACGCAACTTAATCAGCTTGTATTTACTGAGGAGAAATAAGGGCTTTCGGTAGGGGGGCCCAATTAAAGATGGGCATGCACAGCCACGCTTCTGCCTCATCCATGCATACACATCCTTCAGCCAAGCACCCCAAAGTCTTGCATGCGTCTGAGTGGATGATTTATATAGCTCTATGACAGTATCCTGGACTTAGCTTACTAAGTCTGGCAGTTGTTCCAGGTGTGGTGAAGAGGCACAGAATCCCCAAGTGTGGGTAAGCACATTCAGGAATATCAGCCTCTTATGCAATATGTTTGTGTGCGTGGGCAGCCAGGTGGAGACGTTTGTGTTTTTTAGAACAAAGGAGCCCCACCCTAATCCCCTCTTCCTCGGGGAGGTGGAAAGACCTTTTGTCCCAAAGGCAAATGCTCACTAAACTGCGAATGGCTGTTCACTCACAGAACAAAGTTTTGAGTCCAGTGGCACCTTTAAGGCCAACAAAGTTTAATTCTGGGTATACGCTTTTGTGTGCACAACAAACTTTGTTGGTCTTAAAGGTGCCACTGGACTCAAAACTTTGCTCTCCTGCTTCAGACCAACACGCCAGGAATACCCGCCTGAATCTATGTTCACTCACTGGTGCTACTTTACAGAAGTAAAGTCTAATATATGAAGTGGGGCGTACAACAGCACCAGCTAGGGCTGCCAACCTCCAGGTGGTGGCTGGAGATCTTCTGAAATTACAACTGATCTCCAGGTGGACTCTATGGCACTTTAGCCCATTGAAGTGCCTCCCCCCCCAACGCTGACCCTCCTCAGGCTCCACCCTCAAAATCTCCAGGTATTTCCCAACCCAAAGCTGGTAACCCTAGCGCCAGCAAATGCCACTACTAGAAAAGGGCATGTTTCTGTGCCCCCCCTTTCACATTCACAAAACCAAACATAACAACCTTTTCTGGCTCTTACAACCCAGACCCTATTCAAGGGGACATCTCTCACTGGTCTAGGAGCTGGACTGGTGGTTCCCCAAATTCTCCTCCTCCAAAAATTTGGGTCGCACCCCCCCCCCCATAAAAACACGCAAGAGCAGCCCTTGCTGGATCAGGCCAAGAGAATATCCATCCGTATCAGAACACAAGATCAGCAAGAGCCCCAGAGGAGACCCTTGCAGAGTAGATCCAATTGAGAAGGCTCCTCCCGCAAGGAAAACTCCTGGAGAATCCCTGCAGCGGAACCCTGCCCCGCACAAGTACAGAGCCAATCATCCCGCCGATCGGGAAGGAGCAAGCACCTCGTTCTTAATGGGAACCGCTATGAACTTCAATCCCCCCCCCCATACGAGCCTCCATGTGCAGAGACAGTCTACCAGCTAACAGAAGAGGAACAAGTAATAGCCGCTCTTCTCTGGGCAGAGAAACTGCGCGCCTGGAGATTCAGGGAGGGCATTTCTAAGCGGCTCTCTCTCTCTCTCGCTTGTGGACTAGCGCCTCGGCTGCACCACGACAACATCCCCCCCCCCAACCAGCCCTGCCAGGTGGGCACGCGGGCACGCACGCGGTGACCCACCTCGCGCGTGACCACCTCCTCCTTCTCGGAGACGCGCAAGAGCAAGCGGTCGTTCTCGAACTCGAGGGCGCGCACGCGCTCGATGTAGTGGGCCAGGCGGTCGTTGAGCTCTCTCAGGTCCTCTTTCTCCTGCAGCCGCGAGATGCGCGTCGGGGAGAGCGGCGTCGAGGGCAAGGAGCCGGGCGGCAAGCCGGAGCTGCGAGGAGTGCCCGACATGATGACGGCTGTAGCAGCAGCAGCAGCGGCGACGAAGGGCCGCTCATTCAATCCGCCCGGCACTCGGGCAAGTGGGCGGGCGGGAAGGAAAGAGGCACAAAATGGCGGCGACCGTTGGGCGCAAGCGGCGCCGACGCCTTGCGCGGGGCGCCATGGGAAATGGAGTCCGTCCCGCCCCTCCGACGTGCCGACCAATCGAACCCGGCAGAGCGCAAGGGTGTCCATACACACACCCTCTAAAGTACTGGGAAATGTAGTTTTTTCGGAGCATCCACCGCTTTGTGGCCCTGTTGTGTCGGCAGAATCTGAGCCTCTCGCTTTAAGACAGTGGATATCGTTGCTTTAGGCCTGCTAGGCCTTATATGAAGAAGCCTTCCTGGACATAAGGGACTAGGTTCCTTCTGAGGACAATAAATAAATAAGAAGAATGCAAGGAGCCGTTGTCAGACATAAACAAATCCCAAGAATAAAAGTAGTGAGAAACCTTTTGATAGAACCAACTAAAAATACACTGTAAGAAAAAATTGCAACCGTTCACGTTCTCCAGCGCTCTTTATCCGGTTGGATTCTGACACGGGGGAGAGTCATGCTTTGAGGCTTTTGCAGTGCAATCCTAAATGGAATTAAGCCACAGGCGGACATGCGAATTGGACAGTTTAATGGACAATAGGTCTATCAGCGGCCTACTAGCCATGGTGACTAAAGGGAACCTCCAAAATTGCAACTGTTCACGTTCTCCAGCACTCTTTATCCGGTTGGATTCTGATACAAAGGGGGGGGGGAGTCATGCTTTGAGGCTTTTGCAGTGGAATTAAGCCACAGGCGGACATGCGGATTAGACAGTTTCATGGACAATAGGTCTATCAGCGCCTACTAGCCATGGTGACTAAAGGGAACCTGGTCTGTTCCTGCAGTGCTCTTCTTAAACCCACTGAAATCGATGAGCTTAGAAGTCTGTAGCTGTGTTAAAGATGGCAAATACTGACAGCGTGCAGAACACATTGATGGAAAACACCTCCATTGGAAGGTGAGGTGGGAACCTCAGCGGCGGCGGCAGCAGCAGCGGAGTGGCGTGTAATGGTGGCGGTAGTCGAGGCGGTGAGCGGAAGAAAAAAGGAGACACGACATCTAGCAGTGAACTGGCAGCGAAGGCGGAGCCCGGAAGGCATGAGGACGCACCCACTGAAATCGATGGGCTTAGAAGTCTGTAGCGGTGTTAAAGATGGCTAATACTGAAAGGCTGCAGAACACATTGATGGAAAACACCTCTTTGTGCACACCCTCCCGGCAGAGTAAGGAACTCACTTTATTGAAAAACACAAAAGTGTTTTTGTTTTGTTTTGTAAGGAGCTAAAAGGTACAACGAGATTTCAGAAAACTGATCCAAAACAACTGTCCGTTTGCTTACGACTCCAAGTCCCTCAGTGAAAAGACGGCCATCAGGGCAATCCCGCTCTCCCCACTGAACACAATTCAATCCGTGCTTCTCAGTTGCCCATGGAACAGGCCTCAAGCTTAGGCACTAGTACCTCTTCCTTCACCCTGCCTTTTGCAGTTCCCTTCTGGGGCTCAGGATTTCTCTTACCACCAGGGTGGCCATCTTTGGATGACCAAGCAAAAAGGACGAGAGCCCTCAGAGAAGAGAGGACAACATTTGCACATGGTAATTTACATTCACGAGATGCAGACTTACACATCATTTCTGTCATGTAACTAGAAATACGCCCATAGATAGGGATAATACAAACTATGTAAGCCGCTCAGAGACCCATGGAAGGGGTTCGAGCGGGGTAGAAGTTAAAATAAATAAATAAATTTATGCACACCCTCCCAGCAGAGTAAGGAACTCACTTTATTGAAAAACACAAAAGTGTTTTTGTTTTGTTTTGTAAGGAGCTAAAAGGTATAACGAGATTTCAGAAAACTGATCTGAAACAACTGTCCCTTTGCTTAGGACTCCTAGTCCCTCAGTGAAAAGACGCCCATTGGGGCAATCCCCCTCTCCCCACTGAACACAATTCAATCCGCGACTCTCAGTTGCCCATGGAACAGGCCTCAAGCTTAGGCACGAGTACCTCTTCCTTCACCCTGCCTTTTGCAGTTCCGTTCTGGGGCTCAAGATTTCTCTTACCACCAGGGTGGCCATCTTTGGATGACCAAGCAAAAAGGACGAGAGCCCTCAGAGAAGAGAGGACAACATTTGCACATGGTAATTTACATTCACGAGATGCAAACGTATTCATCATTTCTGTCTAACTAGAAATACAGCTCATCATAAAGCCAACTTTGTCTAGGGCAACAAGCAGAGCTCCAGTCCCTTGGATAACAACCCAGCATTCAAATGTTTATGAAAAGCTACTGGGGGGGACGGCATCTGTCAATGTGATAAGAAGGAACCCAAAAGTTTCAGAGGACAGGGCTATAAAATAGAGACCCAGTCCCCCTACTGAGCACAGGCTCTGTACTACCTTCTTGCCTGTGTGGGCACTCTCTTGGGACTGCTGGCCAGTTTTGCCTGCATCTTGGTTACTTTTTGCATCTTTTCCACTGCTTTGACTGGTCCTGCCCAGGAAAAATGGGACAGAAGAAGAGTTGGATCATTTATACCCCGCCCTTCACTCGGAGTCTCAGAGTGGCTTACAAACTCCTTCCCCTCCCCACAACAGACACCCTCCTGTGAGGTAGGTGGGGCTGAAAGAGCTCTTTCCAGAACTGTTCTTGAGCGAACAGCTCTGACAAAGCTATGGCTTGCCCAAGGGCATCCAGCAGCTGCAAGTGGAGGAGTGGGGAATCAAACCTGTTTCTCCCAGATTAGAGTCCGGACACTTAACCACTACACCAAACTGGCTGGACACTTAACCACTACACCAAACAGAACCTCAAGAGCAGAAAGAAATCCCTCTCTTGGCACTTGTAGCCTTTTCGTTTGCACCTGCTGAGAAGTGGACAGCTGAAAGAGCACTGAATGGGATCCATTGACTTGGTCTTAAAAGTGCTTTCTCCAGCCAAGACGGTGCTTGTAGGCTTGGACCTTCAGGTCATCTCCCCAGAATCAGCCATAGGATGTGTTAGCAGTGCTTTTCTTCCCCTGTACTGAAATGGTTTTATTGTGTCTGTTCAAAAATGTACTTTCAAATCTCTTTTGTCTATTTTAGAAATATTCCTGAGGTTTCACGCACAAATTTATTTTCACACAATGTGCTGCTAGTCTTTATTGGACTAATAGTAGTGCCTGGAAACTGAATATGAAATGGACGTTGGGTCTTCCATACTCCGCCCCACTAAGTGGGCTTGCTTTATAAGTTGCTGCCTTGAGGGGAGAGGACTGCCTCCACCCTTGTGAACCTACCCAGCCACTGTGATCATATTCTGAGATCCTGCTTGGAGCCCCCCTGGCTTTGAGATTAGGCAGCTGGCATCCTGAGAGAGGGCCTTTTTGGTAGTGGCACCAAAACTCTGGAGCTCTCTCCTCAGCAAGATTCCTCTGTTGCCATCTTCTACCAGTGGGTGATTCCTCCCCCCCACCCCGGTTTGGTATTCCCTTAAGGATTCCTCCTCCTTATGTAATAATTGTTGTTTTTGTATATTTTAGCTCTGGTTCTAATTGTTTTAATGATGTGTTTTTGTTGGTTTAATGATTATTAAGATGTTATTCTATCAGGTATGTTTATGATTTGTTAGCCACCTTGGTAGCCCTTCTGAGAGCAGAAAGGCAGGATATTAATTTTGTTAATAATAATAATGTGAATATCTTTTTTGTTACACAATCTACTTTTATTGAGTTTATCCTAGGAATTTTCTAAATCCATAAGATGTTTGTTTTCTGTATCAGAGCCACTGCTGGCAACACTTTTTCTACTTTCACATTATTTCTGTACTTGCATCGATACCCATCAATTCCTTTCTGTTCCTACAGTTGTTGAATTTAAACAATTGCTGCTCTCCTGATATGGACCACTGCTATGGTTTTCTTAAGGTCAGAATCACATTTTCTTCTTCAGGCGTTTTCCTTCAGTGGACTTTTTAGGCTTAATCTGTCACCAAATGCCAATTCTGCACCACCCTTCCTTTCTTCCCTGGCCAAGCTTTTAGTTAACATCCTGTTTCTAAGATGTTCGGCTTGGGGGGAGGGGGGGACAGGGGACTCCTGTTTTTTTTATTTTTTCTGAACAACTGGGAAGTCTTCACCTCTCCACACTAAGGAGAAGCCCCTGTACTGTCCGCAGATGATCCTGTTTCCCATCTGAAATGATTAAATCTCAGGTATTCCGGAGAAAACACCTCATTTTTAATCGTTACATTATTTTCATGTCTGTACTTTTGTCCATTTTTAATACTTAAAAAACACTCAGAGGCTTTAGTCTTGAACTGGCCCACCTTCCCACTCCCATTGTGATTTGTGGATGATGTCTATCCCATTGGTAGGTCCCTAGGGTTTCACTGGTGGGCTAGTTCAGTATATGTTTGCAGATAGCAGCTCTGCATGCTTGCTTTTAAGGAGACTGTAACCTCTCCCCCAAGGATTCCCCTGACCAACAGATTAAAGTACCTGTAAGTCTTGAGATTCATTGAGGAGAATATGCCTTTGAGTATGTGCAAAAAGCTCAGAGGTTGTTTTTCTTTTATTTTCTTACAGCTGTGTAGCTCTTCGGCTTTGAAACGGAGATGAGCGTAGCAACCCTAGAGTCGGATTCGACTGGCTTTCGAGCAAGGGAACCTTTACTTTTACTTTAAGCTGTAGTGATGACTTTGAAAGGAGCGGGAGAGGAGTGGGCAATCATCAACCAACCATAGAAGCCAAACGGAGCCTCCAAGTCCAGAGGCAGTATACCTCCTAATGCCAGTTTCTAGAGGGCAACAGCTATAGCCCTGTTTGTGATCTTCTTACTGGGCCTTCTGGTTGACCGCACTTGGAAAGGGATTGCCAATCGGCCCGATTCAGGACAGCTCCGATTATAGACAGAAAAGACTTTAGCCTGGAAACTCTCCTCCCCGCCCATTTTCCGGGGAAGATTAGGAAAGGCGTGAACTACAACGCCCAGCATCTTACTGGGCTTTCTGGTTGACAGCACTTGAAAAGGGATTG